ACCCTCTCTCTGAGCCTCCCCCCAGTGCTCCCAGACAGAACCCCACCCCGGGAGTCCTCAGTCCTCCTCACCTTGGGCTCCCCCCCAGTGACTGTCTCTGAGCCCCCCATCACTCCCAGCACATAGCCCCCACAGAGAAGCGAGCCCCTCTTGCCCAAGCCCACAGTGACCCCAGTAGGATTACCACATTTGAACTTTCAAAAAAGAGGACACCCCGAAGCAAGAGTGTATCAGTATCTACCAACCCACATTGTATTAATGTGTTATAGTTTCAGGGGTGTCCTCTTTTTGGAAAATTCAAATATGGTAACCCTAGACCCCAGCCCTGTGCCTCCCTGGCCTAAGACCCCAATGACTGCTGCTCTAAACCCCCAGTGAGTCCAGGACAGAGTCCCCCAGCTCCAGGGTTCCCTTCTCTGAGCCACTCCTCCACCTCAATCTCCTTTGGCCACCTCTTCCAAATGTTTGTTACCATTCGCTATCATAACTGGATATCTACATAAATGTCCGCTTCCTTCTTAAATCTTATTAAATTGGTCTCAATCCTTTCTTGTGGCAATGGGTTCCACGGTCTAATTAGATTTGTGACAAAGTATTTCCTTTAAGCAGTTTTGAATTTCCCACATTTTAAATGTCACTGTGTTTGGATGTTATGAGACAGAACAGAAGTTCCCCATCTCCCTTCTCCAAACCATGTATTACTTTATATATTTGTAGCATGACCCCTTTACTTGTCGCCTTCTAAAGTACCCATCCCAATGTTTTCTGCTTCTCTGTAGCAGAATGTTTCCAGGCCTTTAGTCATGCTCATCACCTGTCCCTGAACCCCCTCTAACTCTGTAGCATCCTTTCTGAGAGGGGGTCACCAATACAGCTCATGGTGTCCAGATAAAGCTGCACTATTGCTTTAAATAAAGGCATTCTCAGTTATTCACCATATGCATCAAAACATGGGTTGCTTTGTTGACCTCAGCCCCACACTGAGCCAAGGTCTTCATTGAGCTGCCTACAATGATTCCCAGATCTCTCTGATAAAGTAGAACTCTGTAAAATATATAATTTATTTTTTCCCCTCCAAAATAAATTACACTGATTTAATTTGCATTGTGTTGCCTATTCACCTTGCTTTTTTAGGCTTCTCTCAGATTCCTTGCTGTTCTGTCAGGCTAGGGTTGCCAGGTGTCTGGTTTTGAACCAGACAGTCCAGTATTTTAGCTTTCTGTTTGGGAAACAAATTGAGAAAATATAAATGAGACAATATAAATGTCCAGTATTTTCTAAATAAGATGTAATGTAAATTGTCATGTAATGTCAAGTGTGTCCAGTATTTTTGTTGAAACCATCTGGCAACCCTATGTCAGGTCCCTATGCAGAAATTTCTGTGGGGGCCGGAAGGTGCTTTTTTTGTAAATGTGAACCACAAGCTGTGGTGGCTGACATGATGGCTCAGCCCCACCCTCAGCCTTGTTCCTGGCAGGAGGGTAATCAGCTTCAGCCTTCCCATGGCTGACAGGAATTGGGACCATGGGGGAGGTGGGCTTGTGATGAATAGGAGGAGTGCTGGCCAGCACCCGGTGACTAAAGGGTTAAACTCAGTTTAATCTTAATTCATTATCAGTCCTCAGGGAGAGACCTTGAGAAGGAGCCTTGGTCCTGCAAAGCCTGGGGAATCTCTGAGGTTGCCCTTGCTTTGCACCCTGCCCTGATTGGCTGATGGCAGGGTCTCTCTGTGAAGTCAC